GGTTGCATTTGAAATCATTTGGGTTTTCTCAGAAGTACCAAGCTGTGCTGAGGAGAAAGGCTCTGTTGATTTTTCTGGTAGTTCGTAGTCTGCTTTGGTCCAGTAAACAGTGCTGAACAGCAGATTTCAAAACCCAGCTCTGTCTTTCAAGAGCGAGGTAGGAGATCCTTGTTTTCTTTCTATATGTAAGATGGGCCAAACTGGGGTATGTTTTCTATAGTCGTTTGTTTTTCTACAGTTGGAGGGTTATTGATAAAAGAATGTTTAACCTACTTGACTCTGGACATATTGGACCTTGGCCCAGAGTACCAGAGTGTTATCTACAGTTTTAAAAGGGTGGGTCGCTAGGAATCTGTATTAGTCCATTTTCTGTTGCTATAACAGAATACCTGAGACTGGGTAATTTATGAAGAAAAGAAGTTTATTTGGCTCATAATTCTGAGACAGCTGCATCTGGCACGGGCCTCAGGCTGCTTCTACTCGTGGTGGAAAGCAGCAGGCAGCCAGCAGGTACAAGATCACGTGGTGAGAGGAAGCAAGAGAGAGAGGAGGTGCCAGGGTCTTTTAAACAACCAGCCCTCATGGGAACTGCAAAAGTGAGAACTCACTCATTGCCTTCCACTCAGGGAGAGCATTAATCCATTCATGAGGGATCCACCCCCCTGACTAAAACAGCTCCCAGCACTGTCACATTGGGGATCAGATTTACATATGAGTTTTGGTGGGGACAACACATCCAAACTCTATCATTCTGCCCCTGGCCACCCAAGACTTATGTCCCTCTCACATACAAAATACAGTCATTCCATCCCAACAGTCCCAAAAGTTTTAGCTTGTTCCAGCTCCAACTTAAAAGTCCAGAGTCTCATCTGAAACCAAAGGCCATACTCCTTCCAGCTGTGAACCTGTAAATATCAAAAGCAAATTTATCTACTACCAGGATACAGTGGTGGAACAGACATTGGGTACGCATTCCCATTCCAAAGGGAAGGAATAGGCCAGAAGAAAGGAGAAACAGGCCCCAAACAAGTCCAAAACCTAGCAGGGTAGACATGAAGTCTTAAAGCTCCAAAATAATCTTCTTTGACTCCAGGTCCTGCATCCTGGGCACAATGGGGCATCCTGGGCCCCCAAAGCCTCGGGCAGCCTCATTCCCACACCTCTACCAGGTGTAGCCCATTGCTGCCCTGCTGCCTTCAGCTTTTCCAGGCCTGCATTGCACGTTGCTGGTGTCCTTACAGTCCTGGGCTCCTGGCAGCAGCCCTGCTATCTTGGTGGTACTAGACATTTCCCTAGTTGGGGCTCTCTGTGGAGTCTCTGACCCCACTTTTCTGCTCTGTATTGCTCTAGTAGATGGCCTTTGCAGTGGCTCCGTCACTGCGGCAGGTCTCTGCCTGAGCACCTAGGCTTTTCCATACATCCTCTGAAATCTGGGTGGAGGCTAGACACCACTGAGGTTTCAGGCTTCTACTCTCCAGAGCTGCTGCATGAAACCACACTTGGGGCTGCTTGAGGCAGGGCTGCTCCAGCCAGAGCAGCTGGGATGCAGGGAGCAGGTTCCCGAGGGCCTCTGCGCCCCAGGTCTGTCCTTAGGGACAACTCAGTCTTTCTAGGCCTCTGGGTCTAGAATGGGAGGGGCGCCCTTCCAGACTTCTGAAATGCCTTCAGGGTCTTTCTCCAGTTGTCTTGACTATTAGCATCTGGCTGCCTCACTGCCAAGCTAACGTCTTTAGCAACCAGTTTATCTGCTTCACCCTTACATCTTTCTTTTGCCCTGTGCTTCTCTACCACATGGCCAGACTGCAAATTTTTGAAATCTTTATGCTCTGCTTTCCTTTTAAATTCTGGCTTTACATCATGCCTTTTCTGCCATAACTCAGTATAGGCTCTTAAAAGTAACCGTGCAGCTTCCTTAATGCTTTGCTGCTTGGAAATTTCTTCTGCCAAGCATTCTGGTTCACAACTCTAAAGTCCCACGTTCCACAAAGTCCAAGGGCATGGACACAATGCAGCCAAGTTCCTTGCTATGGTGTAGCAAGGGTCCTGATCTTTTATCCAATTCCCGATAAGTTCCTCATTTCTATCCGAGACATCATCATCAGCATGGCCTTTACTGTCCATATTTCTGTCAACATTCTGCTCACAACCATTTAACAATTTAACTCTAAAATGTTCCAAACTTTTATCTTTTCGTCTTCTTCTTTTTTTTCTTTTTTATTTTTTTCGTGTCCGGCAACGGATTGCAACCCTCAGTGTCGCACCCATACCGGACCGGGACCGGCAACGGGATCGCAACCCTCGGTGTCACGCCCGCACCTTGCTCAGCCAGTGAGCGGGAACCGGTCTGTATGTGGGATCTGAACCCTCGGCGGGAGCGCCACTGCGCTCCCAAGCGGCGCACTGTAGCAGTGCGCCACCGGGCCGGCCCTTTTTGTCGTCTTCTAAGTGCTCCAAACTTCTCCAACCTTGGCCTGTTACCCAGTTCCAAAGCCGCTTCCATATTTTCAGGTATCTGTATAGCAACACCCCACTCCTTGGTATCAATTTTCTTAGTCCATTTTTGTTGCTAATAACAAAATACTTGGAAATGGGTAATTTATGAAGAAAATGAAATTTATTGCTTACAGATTCTGAGGCTGGGAAGTCCAAAGTCCATCTGTTGGTGGTGACAGTGACTCAGGGGTCTCACATTGTAAGATGGGGGAAGCAGAGAGAGCAAAGAGGGGAGGTGTCAGGGTCTTTAAACAACCAGCTCTCATGGGAACTAATAGAGTGAAAACTCACTCATTACTCCCCCCACTACAGGGAGAGCATTAATCCATTCATGAGGGATCCACCCCCGTGACTCCAACAGCTCCCAACACTGTCACACTGGGGATCAGATTTCCACACGAGTTTTGGCAGGGAGAACACATTCAAACTTTATTAGAATCTAAGAGAAATGTGTAGAGGTAATGGTTTAGCTGGGCCTACGTGAAGCATACATCATTTCTAGAAAAAGGACAGCCTCGTGAACTTCATTCCTCCTCCCCATCTACTCAGCTCTCCTGGAGGAAGTGCTGCTGACTAATATCAGACTCACAGTCACCATTTAGACACTGAATTCTTTGTTTCATAATTCGAGAACAATCTTCTAAAAATCTCTGAGTTGCTTTGATTGGTTTAGATTTTTTTTTTTTTACAGTTTGACTTCAGAATTCTTGGTAGAAAACATAGTCAATGAAAGCATGGTGTGCAATTTAGGGCTTTCTACTCTTTTACATCTTCCCGAGGCTGGAGATGTGTTCAAAGGCATTCTTGGGTCTTGGGTCATTATCTTGCTATTTTTCCAAGACATCAGTCCCTCAGCTTGCTATGCACCTTCTTAATTAGGATAGAATTTTTCTGCCTCATGGAAAATATGTAGGACCACGCTGAGTCTGTGCTCCCCCCGGGTTGCCGTATCCCCCAGAAGGCTCCCACAGATGCGAGGCACTGTGCCAGGCAGGCCTGAGTTCCCTGAAGGGTTTAGCAGACAGGTATTTCTGTGTTAGGGCCTAGAGAAGCAGCAATGTGTAAATACCTTTAGCTGGGAACGAGAAGATGTGGCTTTGATTTCTGGCTCTGCTATTGACTCAAGCATGACTTTGGGCAAGGCCTTTGCTGAGCCCTGACTTGGGCCTCAGCTTGCTTGTCTGTTCAGTGAGGGAGCAGGCTTCAGTGATTGCCCAGGCCATTTTCAGCTGTCCCTCTC